GCATGTTGTCTGTGCTTTACTACAGGAAAATTGAAAAATATCCACTTTCCTAAAGCAATCAGGGTTTTGGTTTACTCAAAAAATGTAGACAGGTATTTAAAATCAATATTATTTCAAAAAGTTCGCACCCTGCAGAGTGTATTTCAGTTGTCTAAGAACCCTCTGAGAGATGATACAGGTGTCTACACTAGTTGGATGTCGAGCCCTCAATACTGCTGGAGCTTTAGACTATAATGTAACATCTACTATCACTAATACCTAACTCATAGCTAAAACATAACTCTGGCATTCTTATTTTCTGGGCTAAAACCTATACCTTCAACATAGTCAACATGACTAATGCTACTGATTCCCACATAGAAATGTATTTTTGGTCCTAACTAGGACCAAAAGCAGTTTTTTAGGTGTAATTTGCTTCCGCTGGCATGAAGAATGAAAAAAAAAATAAAAAAAAAAAACAGGAAAGAAAAAAGGAAAACAAAATAATATTAGTTTTATCGTGGAGCAGGGTCAGTTCTGCACATCTTTCGTCTATAGAAAATGTACAAAACCATAATCTTTACGGGGAAAGTACTTGTGGGAAGGAAAAATCAGTGTAAATGTCTAAATGTTTCTATGGAACAAGGCTGGGTGGGTCGCAGCTCGGCACGGGCGATGCTCTGGCTCTGCCCTCCGCCCGGGCACTGCACAGCACGGGAAATGGGCCAGAGGCGCGGGCGGCCGAGACTCAGCTACAGACCCAGCAGGGTGTAGTGCTGCGACAGGGCTGTCCTGGCCTCCCAGGGGAGGACCATCCCTCCCCTCGCACCAGCACGTCCCGGTGCGTTCTGCCTACAGAAGAGAGGAACGGAGCGCGACGTGCTCCTCCCTCGCCTGGCAAGGCTGCCTTGTGCCGGCCTTGGGTGCCAGGGACTCACAGGGAGGGGAAGTTAAGGAGTGCCAAATCCACCAGGAACAGCCGCGACGGGCGGGCCCGTGCCAGCCCCTGTGAGCGCTTTATCCCAGGGCTGGTGCGCTCCTTCCCCCGGGCTCCTCGGTGACCCCCGGGAAGGACCGACGCTCCTATGCCGCGTTAGCGGTCCCCGGCTCCTGACCCAAAGTGGCGGCAGGACCCGTCGGTGCAAACCGCGGCCGTCCCAAAACAGCCGGGGCTCTGGGGACGAGCGGCTCCCGCTACCCCGCCGCCCCTGCCCCGCCCGCCCGAGCCCCCGCACCGCCCGGGCAGCTTCGGGCTGCTCCCCGCTGCGCACCCGGCCCCGCCGGGCAGCTTCGGGCCCCTTCTCCGTGCCCGCTCACCGGCTGCCTTTCCAGCTTCACTTCTTTCCGGAGCTGCTCCACTTCCATTTTCAGTTTGTCCTTCTCGCTCAGGTCCTCGATGTTGATGGCTGGCATCGTCTACACTACCGAAGCGCGCAAGGAGTGAGGACAAAAGGTTACGTCTGGGCAGCGAGGGCGCCGGGGCCGGAGCCCCCGGGCGGTGGCGGGGCTGTGGGACGGCCGCCCCCGGCCCGCCCCCGGCTCGCTCACACGCTGCCGCCCGAGTTGCCCCGCTGGTCGGCGGCGGCCGCTTCCTCCCCGGAGCGCCTGCACCCCTGCCCCGCGCCGCTCCGGCCTTTAAACCTGCTCGCTAATCCCCTGTAACCGGATTAGAGCCCTCCGCCCGGCCCGGCCCCGCTGCCGGGGCGTTGACACGGGCCCTGCCTGCACAGGGAGGTCCGGCCGTCCCAGCAGCAGCCGGAGCTGGAAGACCCTCCTGTGCTGACCTCCCCGGCCTCGCCCTCCGCAATTCCAGTGCGGGCCAAGAGCAGCGAGATCGGCTGGAGCTTTTGGCCCAGCAGTGAGCTCTTTCTTCCTACCACCTTCTCTTCATGCACCTCCTGGCCATAGAAATGATTCATGCTCTGCGCCACCAGCATCTTTAGGTTCTTCTGCCTAGCGGCTAAGGCAGAATCAGGTGGTGTGCATGGGTACATTTCTCAACACTTGTGCATTACAACTGCAGATGAACTGAACTAAGGTAGAGAGGGGAAGAAACCACTCCCATATAAAGTGCCCCGAGACGTAGGTAGCCAGCCCATCAATGCCAGATACTGCAACTTTTTGGTAGGTATGTCTGCAAAGCAGTATTGCAACACTGCATAAGAGGGTTATTGTGCTTGGTTTGCACTAAGGGTTTCTGGACACATGGAGTTATGACAGGTGTTGAGGTGGAGTACTCAGTGTAAGGGAAGTGATGCATCCAGAAGATGCAAGAAGGAGTTAGGAAATTCTTTCCCTGTGGTTGCATACAATTTTGAGGTCTAGATCCCGAATAGGGTTCTATGTTTTTAAGAACAGAGTGGTCCTTACATGCATGTTTGTGCAGCACCTAGCACTTCTCATCCTAGCAGCTGCTTTCCTACAACAGCAATGGAAGCAGTATTCAGGACCCCTGAGACTGAACAAAGCTACAAGCCATTAAAATGGGCTTGTAGTCCTTCTGTTATCTGCCACTTCAAAGATCTTTATAAGCAGTTAGCCCTCCCTCTTTCCTCCTTTATTTTTTCCCATTAAACACACTCTCCTCCTATCCCTACTCACCAGATATAAGCAGCTGGCAGCAGCATGAAAAATTTACATGCTCTCCAGCACTGCTCCTACAGTGCTCTTGGGGTTTGTATTTGTTTTACTTTAGCCAGTTCACTGAAATCAGTTTTTCTTCCTCTCCCTATGGCTACCATCTCCAGCTCCTGGTATGCATTTTCTACACCTCCCCATAACCTACACTGACAGCTGCATTCCCAAACCCCACCAGCTGCTGGTCCTGGGCCAGTCATAACAGGTGGAAGGAGCTGGCTGGCCAGTGTCTCAGAGGAGCCCGGGCTGTTGGTGGGAGCAGAAATGTGGTGTGGAGAGGCAGAGAGCATGTGATGTGGTGGAGGCAGGTGTAGGGTGCAGGAGTGAGCTGAAAGTGGGCTCTGGCAAACCACCGACACAGTTAGGGTGGGAGGCATTTGGTATCCATGGCTCTGTAATGGCAAGCTTTCACTGATCTGTCTGCTGGCATGACTAGCTCTGCAGGTGGCAGTCAGTAATGGACTTTCTACCATTTGCTGCGTTAACTTTTATTGTGGTTCATATATTTTTACAGATATTTACCTGATCTAAGTTAAAGCAAAGGAGAAGCTGAATAGCAGCATTGATGGATAGGTGGCTTTAACTCAGACTTTGATTTCTATGTCTGTGCACAGAGGAAATGGAAAGTATTGAAAATGGTGTTTGCATTACAGCATTCACTTTGCTGCTATTGTTTAATGTGGTATTTAAATTTCTTTGCAATCCCAAAGAATGTGACGAAAACTAGAGGACGTCAGTCTAGCTCAACATATTAAAGAACATTATATTGAAACCACTTTAGTTTCCCAACATTAGAAAGATTACTTCTGCTTTCTTTTGAAAATAGAAAAAAGTATGTGGGTTTTTTTGTTTGTTGGTTCTTTTCTTCTGGAGTGACATAAACTTTAATATAGTTGTTCTGCCTAATAAATTGAACTAAATCCTCATAAAAATGAGGATACCCATTAGTAACCGTTGTAGCTATAAGAATCTAAATCATGGCAAATATGTCCCATCGTGACATCAGGGTTTATTTTCTTGTCACTAAAGGACCCACTTGTCCTTTTGCTACTGGATATTCTGAAAAAAGGAACAGCTCTGAAAAAGGAGGGAAAGAGGTGCCATTCACACCCTTTCAGAAGTCACATAGGTGGCGTAGGGATTAGACTTGCTCCTTTCTTGCCTTTATGAAAAATCAAACTGTGTCAGGAAACTAGGTTGTAATCCTCCACGACATAAGTAAAGCAGAGAAGCCGTGGAGAGAAAGTTCAAATAATCAGGGTGCCTTGAAGCACCTCCTGCTTACAGCCCGTACAGTCTTGGCTTCTCTCCTTCAGGCCACGGATTTCCAGAGCCCTGTATTGCAACCCATCGAGGGCAGTGCCTGCCTGCAGGACTGCGGCTCAATGTCCCTGTAAAGGGAGCAGAGAAAAACAATAGGAGATCAGATTAGTTTGTCGTTATCTATGGAGAACACGCCTAATTACAGCCACTCTTATCTCTCTTACTATATTCAATCTGGGGTAAACACTAATTAATGCAATGTGTCTAATAGATTAGAGAGGGAAAGTATACTGTTTGCTGCTCACCCCTCCTCCCACAGATCACACTCCATTGCCTGGTGGGATTAAAATATACAGAATAAACCAGGTCATGATATTTCCTGAAATCCATCTCTCTTTGCACTGCCAGAGATGTTATCCATTTGGCCCCTCGGGTTTCCCCAGAGACCAAGCCCTCTGACGATTCCTCGATTTTCTCAGGTTCATCAGCGTTTTACACTACGGAGGTAAATAATGCCGCGCGTTTGTCCCGGCGGCACTCGCTAAGCTCTACTTGATGCGGCTGGACCGAGACCTGCAGCAGGATCAGCGTTCGATTTTCGGCGTCCCACCGCCCTCTACCCGGAGCTTCCGAATAGGGAGCGGCCTCGGGGGCGGGGGGGTGGCGAAGACGACGCGGGGAGGGAGAGGGGGCTTTCGCTAAGTGACCTGTCCCGGATTTCGCCGAGATTTACAGGAAACGCTCCCTGAGCATCATCCCGTAACATGAGCGGGGCGGGCGGTGGACCCCATCCAGCTCGCCCCAGCCCCGGGGCGGAGGCCCCTGGGTTCTGGGCGGCGCAGCCCGGTGGGGAGGCAGCCCCGGCGGCGCCCCCGGCCCGGCCCCCGCTGCTCCCCGCGGCGGAGCGGAGCGGACCGGGGCGGGGCAGGGCGGGGCGGAGGCTGCCCGCGCCCCCGGACTCCGGCATCGCACAGCCTTCCGCGCCCGGTGACGGCCGGGCCAGCGGCGAGCTCTTGTCCCGCTGAATCAGACCTTCCCCTCCCACCACCTGCGCAAGGAGGCGGCCCGGGGAAGGCTCCTCGGTGCGTATAAAGCGCTGCCGTCGGAGCGGGAAGCACCGCTCGCTCCCGGGACCCCGCTGCCGCCCACCATGGCCACCGGCCGCCGCCTGCCGCTGCCCGCGCTGCTGCTGCCGCTTGTCTGTTCCGCGCTGGCCCAGCGCCCCCTCACAGGTAGGAGCGGGACCTCGGGGGGACCCCGCGGGGCCGGGGCCGCCCCGCCAGCGCGGTGGCCTCAGCCCCGGTTGCTGTCTCCGCAGAGAAGCAGCGCGCCTGCCTGCTGCCCCCCGACGACGGGCCCTGCCGCGCCCTGGTGCCGCGCTGGTACTACGACCGGTACACGCAGAGCTGCCAGGAGTTCAGCTACGGGGGCTGCTACGGCAACGCCAACAACTTCCTCACCTTCGACGACTGCGAGAAGAGCTGCTGGACCATCAAGAGTGAGTCCAGGGGCCGGCAGTGCCCCGCAGGACTCCGGGGTGGCAGGGGGCTGGAGGGGACACCGGGGATGCTGCTTGGCTTTGCGGGACGCTTTGCACCCGCCCGATATATCATAGAGTCTTAGAATCATAGAATTGTTTAGCTTGGAAAAGAGCTTTAAGATGATCGAGTCCAACTGATGACCCTCTTGCTTGTTGCAGCTTCTTGCTGATGTCAATTTCAGGCAGAAAATGCAGAGTGAGTTGATCCAGGATGACATGTGGAATTTATCTATTAGCATTTTAAACGTGATTTAATATTGCACTTACTTGCTAATTAATGGATTGGATTCCTCCGGTAAAAAGCTGGTGGGACAAACTGGGACTTGCCTGCAGATGAAGCAATACCGTTTTGCCTACGCTACCATGTGTTTCTGTATGCAAAACATGAAGGGTTGGCTTTACAGAAGATGAAATTATTTTTTCTGCAGAGGTGCCCAAATTATGCCGGATGGAGGCTGATGAAGGACCTTGCAGGAGTTACCTAAGAAGATACGCCTTTAACTTGAGCTCGATGAGGTGTGAGGAATTCATCTATGGTGGCTGTTACGGAAATGGCAACAACTTCAGAGATTTGCAGTCCTGTGTGGACCACTGTCTGCCAGAAAAAAGTAATGGTTGTTCCAAATTTTTAATAAAATAGATGGTTTGAAAGTGATATGAAGATGATACTTCATTTAATATTTTCTTCTGAATACCTGTACAGTGGTATTTTTGAAGACTTGTGTAAAGCAGATGTTCATATTGTCCACTTTAATTTTAATATGCTATCTTAGCTGTTACTGGAAGAACAAAAGTGCTGAGATCTTAAATATATCCACAGCTATACCCAACCAATTTCTTGACTTCTAGAGAGCTGTACGGGTGTATCTGAAAGCAGATAATAAGGTTGAAGATCTGTATTGAGGCAGATGTGTCAGAGAATGTGGTAGTCACATTCAGGGAAGTAGTAGTGTAATGTAAAGCAGAAGCACCTTTCAATAATTCAGGCCTGAGAGATGGTGGTAGGTGTCTCAGGTTTTTTGGCACTCAACAGCTCAGCTTCTGACTGAAGTGTTTTCCCTGATGTGATTCTTTACTGTCTCTTCATCTGAGCTTTAAATAAGAATGGTGGTAATTATGAGCAGGTGACTATAAGTTTTGATGTGAACACCAGATTAATATCCAGTTCAAGGTAGGCTCTTTGAAGATCTACCAGAATGTATAAAAGCTGTCACTGCCCTAAGCTTTATTAGTGCTTGATGACATGTATTTGTGGCTGATGACAGATTGTCAGCATTTTCTTAGGTGAAAGCTGAATTATTTCTGTTGCACATACAATGAGTTAATAAAGGGACTACAGCAGGAAATATAAAATTTTGTTGAGGCAAAAAGAAACATGCTCTTGAGGAAAGGTATTGGATTTTTGCTTTCTGCTGCAAGCAGAATTTGCTGGCAAAATCATAACAAAGTTGTGCATTTTTTTTTCTCTATAGAGGTTGTTCCACCAAAATTATTTCTATATTCCTATATTTATGGAGTAAGTTTACGTAAAAATCTAGCTGGCATGTGTATGGCACCACAAATGGGGAAAGCTGATGAATTTCACTTATGGGATATAATCCTGTTTTCTAGGACGGTCTGTTGCCTTCTCAAATTCACAGTTCACAGGAATAAGATGTAGAAATCATCAGTAATAGTGTCAATTCAAGGGGAAAAAGAGCTTAGAGTTTAGATGCAAAATTTATTGCAGGGTCAATTTTAAGGAGCCATGTACAGAGTTTGCATTTGTGTAATTTTTCTCGCTCTCTCTCTTTTTTTTCCCCTTTGTCCTTTTCTCCCCAAGCTGGCCCCTTGCTGTGCTACAGCCCAAAGGATGAAGGATTGTGTTCCTCTTCTGTGCCTCGCTATTACTATGACACCAAGACTAAATCATGTAAAGAGTTCAGATATACTGGCTGTGGTGGAAATGCCAACAACTTTGTCACTGAAATGGATTGCTACAATGTCTGTAGAAATGGTAAAGGTTTTTTTGGTTTCTTTTTGGCTTTTTGTTTTGTTTTGGTTTTTCCGTTTTGTTTTTTTTTTTATATATATTTTGTCAGTCACAAGCAGTTAAAGCAATCCACATGCTAGTAACAAGTGTTCATAATGTTCTTTTACTCACCTTGGTTTGCTACAGGGGTATGTTTTTTACGTTTTTTGCATTTTGGACTCTTACGTTTTCAGGGGCAGGGAAAATTGAAAGGCAATGCTAAATCCTTCTGGCAAGATCAGTGTGATGTGAGGTGGTTACATCATATTTGAATGAAGTGTAGACAAAGACACACAAAGACTAAACCTACTCTCTAGAGCCCACAGGGAATCAGTCTTTAAACTGTTCAGTATCTCCATGACCACTAATGAAGATACACTTTTATTCTGGATAGTTTTAAATAGGATTAAAGTCAGTTGTGAAACCAATTTACGTTTTTCTTTTGCATTTTCAGAAGTTACCATCCTACCTCAATTCCCTGTTGCCTACTCATATTTCCTATTCCCATTACTAAAGATTTCTGCCTCATCAGTTGTGCTGTGTCAGCTGTTTCTCCAGCTATGGGGAGAAAGCTTGGAATGCTAACTGATTTTTCCTAATGCTTTTATTCAAACTAGCTACTGGCTGTGCTTGTAAATCAAAACAGTTGTGCTTTTATTTGCAGTCATATGTTCACACCAACTATTGCAAATTTTAATACTCTAGTTTAATTGGTATGAAAATAGAGAGAGAAAAGCATAATTGTATATTGTTGCCCAGAACATTTAGGAAGCAGACACAGCACAGTATTTTAAAAACTGATACTAATGGGAAAAATATTTAAGGCTATATGGAGCATGTACATTGCCTTTGGGAAAAAGAAAAAGGAAAAACTAAAAAGCGTCTCTGTTTTAAACATCATATGCACAAGGTCCGAGTACTTCATATTGAAGTTGTATAGTCAGAAGCCTTATGCTGGGAGATGATGCTTCAGTTCTAGGCTGGAAATTCAGCTGGAAATCTGGGCTGATGCAAGGATTGCACCCTGAGCACAGTCCTCAGAAATAAAAATGTTGCCTGCTAGTTAGTCATGACGGTAATATTTCTGTGGATGGCAAGTCTGAGTGTGTCTCTGCCATTGTATTATGAGAGAGTCTCTAATATTATGTTAAGTTTATCTGACATGCTTGTGATTATCTAATTTGCATCCATTACTACTTGTGAAGTGGTAGGGCCAGGCTCCAGTGTGGAGTGTGCAGGGAGAGGAGGAAGGAAACTGCTTCTTCAGCGTCTCACCTCCACACTACCCCTGCCCACGCCCAGCCAGATTCACCTGGGGGTTCTGTCTTCCTCACTTTTTTTTTTTGTTTTGTTTTGTTTTGTTTTTTGTTGTTGTTGTTGTTGTTGTGGAAGAAAGAGGTAAGGAGATGCTGTCTGTCTTGTAACTAGAGCACCAGATAGCCACATGTAAAGTATCACTTACGAGCTTTTTCATCAACTCGTGGATTTCGCAATTCAGTTGGCTTGGTGCAGCCAAAGACCAAAGTTAAGGGCATGATTAGTACTAATTAATGTTGTGCTATGCATATTCATTTCTATAGCTTGGGAGTGCACAGCAACATTAGGCAAATAATTCAGGCAACTTAAGCCACTCCTCTTCTCCTACTTCTATTTTTTTCTCCTCAGCATCTTTCCTGTTACCTCTAGGAGTCTCAAGTTAAATTCAGTTGACCTTCCCTGTGCATATGTACAACTGTTTAAACTGATCTATAGTGTTTTGAGCGAAAAGATTTGTGATTAATTTCATTTTAAAAAGTTTATATTGGAAAATGCATTGCAAATGCATTGGGTTGGCAGCAAAAGAATTGGGAACTGGCCACAGTGGCTCTACCTGCTGATAAATATGTAGCGTAAAGACAAAGATTTTCAGTCAAGATTGCAGAGTACTTGTTTTCTGAATTTCTCTCACACAATTCATGCAGCCTTTGAAAGCACATCTGGATTTAACTCTTGACTGCCTTAGGACACTGCAGCTTCTGTGAGTTTTGTTCAGAAACACAAATAATTTTATCTTTTCATTTCCTGCAAGCACTGACTATATTTTAACATTTGCCTCACTGTTCAGAGAAGTGTAAGAATAGGGTTGTGGTTTTTTGTTTATGTGTGGGTGGTTTTTTGTTTGGCTTTTTGGTTGGTTGGTTTTGGTTTTTTTAAGAGGGCGGTGTATTTAGTTCCATCCTGCTGTCGCTGCAGGACAGCTAGATAAGGCTTTGGTGCCTGCTCAGGAAAAGGGCAGCAAAGTAGGATTCCAGTGCCAAAGGTGAACACACTGGAGACCTTACAGTGTGAGAACAGGGCATGCAGAACACGTTACAGTTTCTGGTATGTTTGTTATTGTTGGACAACTGCTTAAACAGCATAAGATGAAAAAAACCCAAACAATAACAAGTAGTAACAGTTTTGTCATTCAGTTTCCCTAACTGCTTCCTTTGTTTTGTTAGCAGGAAATCAGAAATCAAGAATCAACAAGCCAACAAATGTATCCCGCAGAAAATTAGTGAGAAAACTGATTAAAAAATCTCAGCCGTATAACCCGAAGTCTTAAAGCTGATGTGCACTTGCATGTTTGAAACTCTCTTTGTCGATTCCACTCTGTTCTTTTGTAAGATATTTTTCACAAAGTTTTATACTGACATAGTTCTGTTTTTCAGAGCTGCTTTTTATGCAATTTACTTTTTTATAATGGACTGTGTTTACTAGAAGAATGAACTTAAGTTTGGTTCTTTTGCTCTGTTGTCTTTACAAGAATATTTTGGAAAGACTTGTTTAGATTTCCATGGGGGAATGTTGCTACTGCCTTGGGAGAATATTTCAGCTGTTGCAGATCAATTAAAATTTGAAAAATCAATTGTCTGTTATTACAGCTAAGGAGAGTCCAACACTGAAAATCTACCATGGATTTAATTTTTTTTTCATCCTCTCCTTGCTAGAGAAAAGGAACTTTTGACAAGTGTGTTCAGAGGTTTATTGCCCTGCCATTTAAAATTGATTGTCATTTATAGTTAATGTTCACAGTGAAGGCTTCCAGAAGCCTTAGTAACAGTAAAAAAAGTATCAATTTAAATTTAAATGCAGTTCATCCCACAGGAGAGAATTTGGGATAAGGATGCCTTGATAAACACTCTAAGGCAATAAATAAACTAGTTGAGTACTAAAATAAAAATGTAGCTATTACTTTTTCATAACATTTGATATTTTTGCTAACTTACTCCAGATCCTCATATGGCTTTAATCAGCACAGTTTTACTGATTTTTATGGGACTGTGCTGATTACAACTGCAGAAGATCTTGATATTTGTGATAATGCAGTGGCTGTTGAAGAGAGCAGCAGAAGTTTCTGCAGGTTTTATCTACAAAAGAGTAATCCCTCTTTTGAGGCACTTTTATATTTCTTATAGTAGGTTATGCCTATGGTGATACTTTTGCACATTCTTTTATATTTTGTATTTCAGTCATGTCTGAATTTCATTTAATTTCACCTACAATATTTTCTAAGAATAAATTCATAAGTAATGTTAATAAAATGTTTTTTGTGGGGAAAAAAAAGCTTGTTCTGTCATTATCCTGAATGAGTTGTATAGACCAATATGTGTAATGGAACCTATAATTTGTTAATTATTACTCTAACAAAGTTTACTTATCTCTTCAATCATTTCCCCACACTGAGGTCTTTATTTGAAGAAAGCCAATAAATTGCATTGATGTTATTCATCCCCAGCAGTTTTGTAGCTCAGCTGGCTCTCTCGAAAGAGCTGCTCTCAAAGGAGTGCTTAGTTTAGCTTATTGTAAGCTGCTGGGTCTCCTGTTTGATGTTGCAGTCTTTGAATAGCTTTTGTGTGGGTAACAAGCTATGGTTTGAAATGACATTGGCTTTCAGTTAGAATAATCCAGGTGTGTGCTTTAAACCTATTTTGGAGAGGGAACATGATGGACAAACTAGTCAAAATCTGGTTTTCTTACTGGCGTTTCTCTCACTGCCAGATTTTCGATTAAAGCAGTTGTCTGTGCTTGCCACTGTCTTTCTATCACTCCGTTTCTGGTTCTTGGTCTCAAAACCCCTTTTTATTTTAATAATCTCTTGCTTAGTGCAGATGAATGAGGAGACTGTGGCAGACAACAGCAGGTAGCTAGTGACACAGTTTTGAGTGCTTGTCCATGCCAAACATCTCGGTAACCAACCTTCAAACAGAAAGGGACCAGTATAAACTCCCTGGGGAAGCCAGGGCACAATACCTGTGGAAATTGCCCATATCCCTTCCTGTTGGTTGTGAATTTTGGCAGTGCTTTTTAAAGCAGCAGCCCAGAGTGTCCTCTGAATGTTTTTTAATATCTAATATTTAGGGCTGCATTCATTTCATGCTCTGACTGTGGCTTATAAAAATGTAAGTCTGTTTAGGAAGTCAAAGTTCAATTTAAGCACAGTTTATAACTGTAAAGGATGGCTGTCTTTTAACAGCAACACCATGTGGTATATAATATATATAATCTTTGGGATCATGTTTAAGAAATTACTATTACTCCTTAGCTCTCTGTGTCTCTGACTTTCATAGGAGTATCTTTGGGTGAGATACAAAAGTGGACCTAGGATTTAAAGCGAGGTCCAAATCTGAGAGAAGCTCCACTCTAGTTTTTGATCTCAGAATTGGGTGCCTTCTCACACATCATAACATGCCCTGAGTAATGCAATACCCTGCTCATATCTTGGAAAGGATCCAAGAGTTTGGCACTTTTCTGTTCATGCCAACTCAGAGACTCAGCAAGAGCTGTCCTGATGGACCAGGACGCTGCAGTGACCACTTCAGGACCCTGTGTAATGCACTTTTCTTGAACAAAAATATAATTTGAAGCCTAAGGGCTTGTTGCTAAAGTACTGAGTGAAATATCAGAGTCTTGGGTTTCAATCCTGTATCTATGTGGTATCATATAGAAATTCGACATAAACCATGCATTTCACAGTGTTTCCTAGTGAGCAGGCTGTAGAATATTCTGGATGAGGTAGGGCAGGGAAAGGAAGTGCTCTTGGAAGATTTTTTCAGTTCCTTACTGAAGCTATTACATAAATTGCACTGTATTTCCAGGTAAATGTCTTCATCTCTTTTGGTTGTTTTTCTTTTTTAGCCACAAAGAATTTCAGCAGTCACTGTGCTGCTCTGCTGTGTGTTCTAGGTTGCTCTAATATCCCTTCACACTGCTGGGATACTGACTAATCTAAACACTTGTCATCTAATGGCTTTTATATGATTCATTACTTACTTCCTTCTTCAGTTTGCTGATGAAACAACACTGGCCGAAGGTTGGGCCAACTGTTAGTGTTTTGCCATGTTGAAAATTAATGCAGCCCATACCATCCTGCAAATTAACTTTTATTATAGTAGCCAGGGTCCAACATCTGGTATTGTGTGTCACAGTGCAAATTTCTACTGCAGAGGAGGGAAGCAGTGATTATAATCAGTTGGGTTTGCATAGGCAAGCTGCCACTGAAACTCCTGACTAGTGATTTGCACAGGACAGTCATACCTGCCACTGAAAAGTAGTTGCTGGAATAAGCAGATTTGAATAAACTGCATTGCAACATCCCTTCTCTTTAACTTCCATTGTGACCCTTAATTCCAGATAATTTCTTAGTGATACCTTGCAAAGAACTGTATAAAAGTTTATGAAAATGAAAATCTGCACTGATTCTTCATAATTGGTCTGTGATAGTACTCAAGAATTTCCTTTGTAAATTATTTCCAAAGTAGAAGATTGGCTTCATCTTTATAGTTCAATGGAATTTTAGATGTCAAAAAGAAAAATATCCATGTGGAAGCACATAGTATTTTTATTGATAAGTTACATGATGGCAAGCAGAATTTCACCACATATAATTTTAACAGTGATTTGCCCCCATAAAGGGCTTTCTCACAATTCCATACTTCTAGTAGCAAACTGACAATGAGTTCAGCTTGTATGCCTGGAGTCAAATACTGGAAACATTCCTGTTTCTCTGTCACTTCTCATCAGTCGAGGAGGTAGAAAACATGGAACTTTTTTTGGAAATAAGCATTTTTTTAGAAACAGTGGGCCATATTAAAAAAAAAATTAAATCCCTAAGCTTGTGTCTCAGATCAGAGGTGAGAGATTTTATCCTGAAGCTTGCAGCCAGGCATATGGCTGAGGGCAGCTGTTCTGACCCAGACAGGGACAAGAATTCTATTCTACTGAAGTAACACAGTCCAGCTATGACTCTATAAATCTGAAACAACTATGCTGTGGATGTGCCAGAATTATGCATTTACAGCAGTTATTGAAAGCAAAATCTGTCTTATTATCTTTCTAGTAAGCAAGTCTATCACTGGCAATAATTAGAACAAAAATATGCGCTTCTGTTGAAGTACGCCTCATTTTTCAGTATGTGGTGGTCCTGTACAGTAATGTCTGTCATCTGATAAATTCTGTAAAATAAATCTGTAAAAATACAGCCTAATGAAGAGCAGTGATATTTAAAAGTAGTCTATGCAAACAAGAAGCATAAAAGCATTAACCACTGGTGTGATCGTGAGCTGTGATTTCCAAATAAATGCCAGAGAAATGAGTGTTCCCAGCTCATGTGTGAACTATTCATAAAAGAGAGATAGTTCAGACAAGTTAAAAACTGATATATGGAATGTAGAGCATTGTATCTATTATGTGGGAATAAAAGAAGTCACTTTTAATGAAGGTTCCCTTTGTACTGGCAGCGCTGACTGTAATTTCAGATGAATATGGACAAAACTGGTGCTCTTCCAGACAAATCGGATTAGGTGCCTAACTGCTGTTGTGTGAAAGGTTTGAAATGCAATTGCAACTCAAAGCACATCACATTGTCTGACTTTGTGGGGGGCTAAACTTTGAGCTGGTGAGCATACAGGAATCTTAAGCCTTACTTCTCAGCCAAATTCTCATGAAAGGCCTTAATGTATTAACTACAAGTTAAAAACGTTACTATATCTGCCAGCTGAATTTCGATGGTTTTGCTCAGTGAGCTTTCTTGCAGGGAGGGCACTACTCAGGAAGTTTGCAGCAGCTTTTCTAAGATGACAAGTCCTGTTTACATTTTTTAATGCTTGGAGTGAAATGCAGTAATAAAACTCATAGTATCTAATGAATGCATATGAACACTGTTGTCTATGAGATTTTTTTTCCCTGTGCGTGGGAAGCAAGATAAAGAGGATTATACAATTAGATTATAATAATAAAAGCTATTTAAATTTAGAGTCAAGAGAGTAGAGGGTGAGAAATATACCCCACAACCAAATCAGAAAGTAGTTTTCCATCATTACAGTAATTTTCAACAGGGAGAATCTTGACTTTGACTGATGTTGAAAAAGTACACTTTATAGAAACGCCTCCAGCAGAAAGTAGCACAGCTGGCAAGGCTTCTCCCCTTGCTTTTTTTTTTTTTTCCTTTAAAAGTGGGAGGGAAGTCTAACGAGAAAAACAGTGATGACAAATGGTATTTACTGCTCTCTCATGGATCCAGGCTGCTGCGCTGCAGCACAAGGAGCCTCTACAATTTCCACTGTGCCAGCCAGAGGGACTTTACCATGATTTCAACAAGAGCTGGAGTGAATCCAAAGACTTCAGTAACCTCCTTTTAAGTGCAGAAATATGATCTTGCACAGAGCAGCATTCCCCTGAGCACATGCATCTTCTTTACCTGAGATCTACTTCACCAGTGTTCATCAGTGGGTACAAGCAAATAAAGGCTAAATAAAAAGGTTCCAATCTTTATTTCACTGCCCACAGAGTTGCTGGATGTGATTGCTTGATCTGGTAGGGCAACTAACTCATTGCTTTACTCCAATATGTCTTTAAGTAGGATTAGAACTAAAACTTCTGTGAAGCCTATTCTACAAAAAATGCTGGGAAATATCTGTTTTAATATAAAAGGAATTTCTTTGATTAGGTCTTATCAGGATTTGTTCCTTACGCCTTTGTTAAGACTTCTTTTAAAATCTAAAACAATATTCAGATAGTTAGAGATCAGTTTATATTGAAGGAGGAATTTAGTATGGTTTAAATTAATCAGATAGTTTGGATACTCTTAATTCCAATATATTATACATTAGTAGACAGTGAAGTGCCCCTTTGGTACTGGCAATTAAAATGAGTTCCTTAACTGGTTTCATTAGAGCAATTTTGCATCTTTCTAATGTGAATTAGCCTAAGCAATACTCAAACAAAACTGTACAGTATGAATGACAAGTTCTAATGATCACAGAATTTTTTAAAGCCACAAACACTAAAAAGTAAATAGGTCACTGAAGTAGTGCTCATCTCATTTTTGTTTTCCAATTTTCTATTTTTTTATTTAACATGAGGCTGAAAAAAGATTACAGACTGTACTCCGCAGTAATGCAAATAGAAAGCTGCTCTTGAACTCCAGGTGTACAGTGAAGAAGCCCTTTGCAAAACTATTGCAATAGAGCTGACAGAGAATTATCCAACTCTTTATTGCCTCATTTTTGTACAGACACCTGCAGTTTTTCTATCCCAGACACAATTATACCTTAAAATATGACAGTGAGCACTCAGTAGCATATAAGTTTGAGGTTTTATTTTTTTCTCAGTTTTGAGAAATATGATTTCTCAAAATAGCTTTCTGATTTCATCCCATAAAGTGTTAGGGAGGAGTGTGCTGAGTCTCAGCTGCAGAGGGTGAGTCTCCAGATCTCAGAGCCTCAAAATGCCCTCAAATCATTTATTGCTGAAACCCTTAGCTCTGTGAAGAAGTCACTGACAAACAGTTCAAATGGCTTTCCAGAGAGAAAAGAGGTAGGACATACCTTAAGCACTTGAGAAAAATAAATCAGAGGAAAATAAAACAGTTCCAGCTCTTTCATGCTCCCTCCAAATCACAAGAGACATTTTTGCGAGTTGTGCAGCGATGATCATTCCTTGGCTAAGGAAGCCTGGCCTGGAAGGAGGAGGGGAGAGCCTTTTCTGATTCACTGCACTTCCTTCTGCTTTGCCCTCTTGAACAGCCTCTGCCTGCAGCACGTTCTTGAAAAAGCCAGGAAGCACAGGACCTGACCATGTTCTCTTTGCTCATTAGCCAGATGGTCTGAGCTCCTTTCACTCCGGATTTTCCTATGAGTGTGAGTGACTGTCTCGAGTGAAGAGTAATGTAATGCTGGAAATGCAAGTAAGTCTTCTGAGGACATCACTGAAAAACTAAGGATACAAATGAGTCCATCCATTCTTCTGAGCACCCAGGGCGCTTAGGATTGCTGTTACCTGGGGAAATCCCTATTCCCAGGGCGAGTCACAGCCTGTGCTGGAAGTATCACTTTGATTTGGGGAGGACATCTGTCCCAGTGCTGTGCAGAGCTAGGGGAGCTCACTGCCAGGGATGTGAGCTGAGAGGTACAGAGCAATAGGAGCAAGGCCTGAGGAGGGACACAGCTCTGGGTGCATCCTTGGGGATGGGGATGGGGAAGTGGTTATGGGGAGAGGGAGAGCAGGAATGAACAGGGGGCTCCCACCACATGGCCTGGGCTGCTGGGATGCTGAGGCTGGTGACAGAGCCCTCCCCTTCTGGCACATCCATCTCCCTGTCTATTCTGTACAGTATGTGATAAAAGCTGTGTATTTTATTCTAAAGAGCAATGTTGGCTTATATTCTTTGAGTGCTACATTGTAAATTTGTTGGTCATGTGGTCATATTGCAGCACAGCCACGCAGTAGCTGACTTACAAAAAGCAAAAGAAATTTAAAAATCTGCTGTCTGGACTCTCAGGTGGGAACATAGGGTATTAACAGAGTCTTGAAATACATGATTGTACTCAGCAACAGCCTAAAATGTAGTGTTTTTCACCATCAGACAACTGAAAACATGAAACAATGACACTTTTGTTTTCCAGCCAATACAAAAAAATCTCAACAGCAATGAGACCTCCATAAAACACACAAAAGCATGATTTTGAGATTTTTGCAACTAGTGGATGACTGTGACAGCTTTCTCTACTTTATTGCTTTCAAAGAAAGCAGGTATGACGAGAAATTGCAATGCATAACTAAATCCATACCTAGCAGTGGTATGGATTATTAGTAGTACTCACTCACTATGATTTGATAATGTCTTTCAGGCACTTGTATGATCAGGCTCTGCAATATAATTAGGACTCAGTCTTTCTGTGTGTTATTTCTGCTAAATTTCCATTTAAAAGTTAGTCAATATTCAAGAAAAATGCTTATTTTCCTAATCAGCAGGTATGGGACTCTGCCTTGACTCAGTGACTTTATAGAAGATGTTTGGGGTGTACAATGTCCCCTGTAATGCAGACTTTGCAGTCTGTACTTGGATCTCTTACACTTCTTCAGCTTTAGTAATGAAGAAGAACGAAAAAGAGGTTGCTGGTGAAGGAACTGCACAATCCTGTATCTGAACAGAGAGTGTTTGTACAGCTGAAGGTGAAAACAGAAGGGATCAGGAAACAAAGATTGCATTTGCAAAGGTTTGATTTGTGCGATTTTAATAAGTGCATAGCTTTCTAAACCCTACTGAAAGAGCACCCAAGAATTTCCCAGGAGCTTTTAAAAAAGTCTCTAGGGCACCTTATCTCTATCCTTGGACATTTATTTCTATCTTTATTTATTAAGGTAAATACCTTTGAAAATTTGGCTCCACCTCTCATTTTCAAAGTGGTTGAAGACCAGGTGGTTCACAGTTCATGCTAAATGTCCTGCTCAGAATCAGACAACTTGGCATTGCTGAACATAAGGCTCTTTCTCTCCTTCTGTGCCAAGGGCCAGGATCTCACCATGCAGTGCT